CAGAACCTTCAGGTCAAAATACGCCGCGAAGTGTCTAGGGCCCAGTATAAAGGGTGAATAAGTTCGCGGGACATCGGAGGGTCCTTATATACCTGCGGTACCCTCTCCCCAAAGTCATTAGCAAAATCGTCCGTTAGGTCAGGCGGGAAATTTTCGCGGGAGATTTTCGCGGGAGATTTCCGATATCGTAACACGGTATAATTTATCAATTTTCACAATTTTGTTATAAATTTATACTTCCGACAATTTGTTATAACATTGCATATAACAATTTATACGTTTTTACAATATTCTTCAATGGAAACATAGGTTTTAGCGTTCTCGTTACTTACTCGTGGTTAAATTAATTTCGTAGGGATTAAAAATCAGGTTGACCTGTGGTCGTAGATTAAAAATAGTGATAGTACAGCTAAAATTATCGTGTTAAATAATTCTTTTCCTACGAATCAAAAATGTATTCAACGTTTGTTTGTTATAATATCGTGAAATGAATTATATTACACATTTTCTCTATTCACACTGAATTTAAAGATTATAACGATTAAAAATCAAGTTGACCTGTGGTCATTTATCAAGAATAATCATAATAAAGCTGAAATTATTGTGTTAAATAATTTTTTTAATACGAATTAGGAATTTATTCAACGTTTGCTTGTTACTACTTGTTACAGTATACTGTCTCGCAATGTAAATTTAAGTAAATTAGGTTGAACTGCACAGAAAATGCACAGAACTGCACAAATAATTTATTTCATGGTATTGTAACAAGCAAACGTTGAATACATTTTTCATTCGTGTAAGAAGAATTATTTAACACGATAAATTTAGCTGTACTATGGTTATTTTTAATCTACGACCACAGGTCAACCTGATTTTTAATCCCTACGAAATTAATTTAACCACGAGTAAGTAACGAGAACGCTAAAACCTATGTTTCCATTGAAGAATATTGTAAAAACGTATAAATTGTTATATGCAATGTTATAACAAATTGTCGGAAGTATAAATTTTTAATAAAATTGTGAAAATTGATAAATTATACCGTGTTACGATATCGGAAATCTCCCGCGAAAATCTCCCGCGAAAATTTCCCGCCTGACCTAACCGACGATTTTGCTAATGACTTTGGGGAGAGGGTACCGCAGGTATATAAGGACCCGCCGATGTCCCGCGAAATCATTTACCCTTTATACTGGGCCCTAGACACTTCGCGGCGTATTTTGACCTGAAGGTTCTGAGATGTGAATAGAGTGGTCGGGGGCTACTAGCTAGTCTATGTCCACCCTGTACACACTCAGCCTTCTTGTAACACTTGTATACATTAGAATCAATTAGAATTTCTATTACTAATTATTAAACAAATTTTAACAATTACCGGCACTCGCTAGGCACGTAATATCAGACTTTAAATACTCGACTTCGAACTTCGGTTTAGTCATAATTCTATTAATGTTATAATAACGTATAATTTATTAATTTTCACAATTTTATTATTAATTTATACTTCCAAAAATTTGTTAAAACATTACATATTATTATTTATACATTTTTGCAAGTTTCTTTGACAAATAAGTACGTTTCAACGATCTTATTACTTTCTCGTTGTGAAATCAAGTTCGGAGGATTAAAAATCAGGTTGACCCTTGGTCGTAAATTTAAAATAGCCATAGTGAAGGTGAAATTATTATTTTAAATAAATGTTTCTATACGAATTAAGAATCTATTCAACGTTTGTTTGTTGCAATACCGTGAAATAAATTGTATTATATATTTTCTCAGTTTAGACTGAATTTAAAGTTCGTAAGGATTAGAAATCAGGTTGACCTGTGGTCGTAGATTAAAAATAGCCATAGTGAAGGTAAAATTATTACGTTAAATAATTGTTTTTATACGAATTAAATATTGATTCAACGTTTATTTGTTGCAATACCGTGAAATAAATTGTATTATATATTTTTTCTGTTTACACTAAATTTAAAGTTCTGTTTACATGTTATAACAATTAGAATGTAGACGTTTTGCCGTTTCACGGTTTTTCCTCTGTTAATTATGTGTTTATAAATCATTTCAAACTAAAGCAGCACCATGCCCACCCTTAATTAAACCGTCTCAGTAGTTTACCGTAATTAAGAATCTATTTTCGGGATTTATACGAGAATTTTTGAATTTTAGTAAATACTAGAGTCAGTGCATCGCGTATTGAAATAATAGCTTCATCCCTAGTTCGTTTATTATTGAATATTTTTACGCGTTTAACTTATGCTTCTCCCCAATTCTCGTCGCGTATTTTATTCAAATTTTCTTATATTCTAGAATCGAGAAAGATATGTATTCGCGTTTTTTCTTTTGATTCTTTCAATTTTTCAATTGCATTACGCATTATTGCAATAATTTCTATCGTTACATTTAATTCTAATTGTTTAGCAGCTTTTCTGCTGCTATGGACCCTACATTTTTTTTTTTTTTTTACTTGGAGGTAGGCCGACTCTATGTGATAAACCATTGGCAACCAAACGGTGGCTCTCCCTCTACATTCGACGGATAATGTGTGCTGATATATGTATAATGTAATTTCTTAGCAATTTGATTTTGTAATTCATCCAAAGCGATATATTATGAAATTAAATTAATCACTCAATAAGCATTAATATTAGATTGTTTCCTCCATATGGGCATGGTGGTCATTAGTGACTGGAGTGCCTCTCAAATGTTTAGAATAATTAAAATAAAATAAATGTTGTCAACTAAAAATTTTGAACGTCATAGCTAGCTAGACATTATTTTCAACTGAAAGAAAAAATTATAAAGCATAATACTATAATCCTATGCTTAAAATGTATTTTCTTGTGGCCGCCTGACAGCAACCTGTAAATCTGGCGTGACAGTGAACGTGTTAATAAGTAAATGTTGTTCAAATTATGTCGTGTTTTATGTCATTTTCATCAGAAAAATCTCATCAATACGTTAAGAAAAATTTCGGGATAAAAAAGTTGATATTTAAATCGCTTGGTTGCCTCGACTCACGTTTCATGCTTATCTTTTATTCGCTGTCCTTGCCTACGTTCGGCAAACTACAAAGGCGGGCGCGAGGCTCGAAAACGTAGTCCCTGACTCTATGAGTGTCAGGTTTAGCTTCCTTGCGGTCTGACTCTTGCGGAGATTATACTGTATACCGACCGCGAGACTCAATCGTCGCCTATCTTGAAGACGTTACAAGTTTTCCTCCATCTCCTATTGTCTGATCGTAATTTCTCCTAGAAGCTTTAGTTATGTGTGGTCGACTTATACAGAAAATTAAGGAAAGAACTTTATGGTTATATATCGACGATCACGAAACAAGACTTTTCTAATTAAATGCTTACCATCCGTGTCATCAATAGCGTACTGTGTCGCTATGTTAAAAAGAAATTATTATTAATATTTGAGAGATTTAACAGTTGTTTCATAGTGATTATTATGACAAATGACATTAATGCAGTTTACACAGGTTCATACATGCACTCGTGCTTTTGATAGTGTGTAGAGTTCTTAGATAACGTTTTCGTCGATGCGACGAAGGCCACAGAACACTCTTGAGGTTCTTGAAAAAGGTTGCTTTTAATAGGACAACGTTTCATTCTCTGCATCTATATACTCTATGACCCATGACAAAAGTATTGAAAGTATATGTCCATTTAGTCGCACTAATCTATTCATTCCTTAATAAATGAGAAAACATAAAAAAGCAGTACAAATTCCCTTTTTATATTTATATATTACATATATATATTTATTTGTTAGTTTAATTTAATAACATCCTTGAATATTAATCGTTTTTTAAATGCTAATCGGTCAAATTATAGATGATCTTTTAATTTATTTTAACATATAATTGTGCAGATGAAATGACCTTAACGTCTGTAATTCTAGTAAAAATGAGATTTATTGAACAACGTACTATCTACTGTATTGAATACATTTTGAACATTGCAAAACGAAATTACTTACACTTTTATTAAAAATATTCCATATTTCTCG